CCGAGGTGGGCAGATCACAAGGTCAGGAGTTCGAGACCAGCCTGGCCAACATAGTGAAACCCCATGTCTACTAAAAACAAAGAAAAATTAGCCGGGCGTGGTGGTGTGCGCCTGTAATCCCAGCTACTCAGGAGGTTGAGACAGGAGAATCACGTGAACCTGGGAGGCGGAGGTTGCAGTGAGCCAAGATCGCACCATTGCACTCCAGCCCGGGCAACAGTGCAAGACTGTTTCTCAAAAAAAAAAAAAAAAAGTGTCAAGGAAATAGAAGACAGAGACTAAGGATCTCTTACAGACTCCAGAAGACAAAAGAGAAATAACTAAATACAGTATGGGGTCCTGGATAGAATCCAGGAACAGGAAAAGATGTAGTGGAAAAACTGTAAAATTTGAATAATGTCTATAGGTAATAGTACTGCCAATGTTAATTTCCTGGTTTTAATAATTTTGCTATGGTTATGTAAGATGTTACTAATAAGGGAAGCTAGATGAGGGATAAATAGAAACTCTGTGTACTACTTTTGCAGCATTTCTGTAAGTCTAAAGTTAGTTCAAAGTAAAGTTAAAAAATAAATAAAAGTCCTACTGCCAAAAAAAAAAAAAAAAAAAAAAGTGGTAGGGCTCCAAGCTGGAAAATTACTGAGGCAGAACTCTAGCTTGGGATCTATTCTTAGCTTCTAGTCCCAGCATGAGGATTAGAGTCAGAATTGAGAGACTAAGAGAAAAGGAAGAGAGAGTTGTTATTTATGGTGAGCCACCACGTCCCAAAAATATTAAAAATCAAACTTTAGAGTTGGAAGGGTTTTGCTGATTAGGAAATCAATTGGGTGGTAGTGAGGAAGGAGACATTCACAGAAGGAGTGATGAAAAGGAACATGGAGAGTAAGCGTGTGACAGCTGACCTGGGGAAGGGCAGTCTCAATATTAGTTTAAGTGATACAAATGCCAGTCAGTATGGAAATTAGAATTGTATTTCCAAACAAATTTCAGATATTCAAAGCTTCCTTCTCTTTATGTGAGATTAGCTTAATTCTGTCACTGATCCTTCATTTGAAGTAGAAAATGGTCTATGTAGAGTGCAAGCCTGTGACTCAACACAAGCATGACATTTTTGCTGCCACTAAGTCCCTTTGATGAAGTTTATGACTAGTTTTATCATTTTTTATATGCAGCATTAAATCAGGAGATCTTATACACAAGACTGTATTGACTTCTAGTCTTTTCTTTCTGTATATAGCCCACAGGCCTGCCCTTTTCTTTCTTCCCTCACAAGAGTAACCTAAAACTTACTTGCTGCCTTCCTCCAAAGAAATAATGCAATTCTGCTCTTATCAGATATGCTGTGGATGAAATTATTTTAAGAAAAAGTTTAGGAATTTAACAGAAGGAAAACTTGAAATGAAAAAATAGTGTAAGAAAGACATAGCTAAAAAATGAAATTTAAACAAGTTATTTTGAGAGACAAGAATTCGCCAAGGAGAAAGATTTACCTGCTGATTTGTTATGGGTGGACTAATCCTGAACCATTCCCAAGGAGTTATAATAATAGTGACTATGTATGATGACTTTCTCAAAGGTGTAGGGAGTGATCTAGTATCTCTTACCGAGTGCTGGTACTAACGAGAAACTGAAGGGAAAAAAATCTACATTTTCACGCTTGTTTTCTATTTTTATACAGAGGGAAAGTTATACATATATTAATAGAAAATTCGGAGGAAGTAACATGTTTTTGACAGATTGTGTGTACATATACCTACTACGTAACTACTTTAAAATGTCCAGTAAATAATCTATTTCGAGCCACAGTACAAATCTAATGAAAATGTTGCCTGAATTCTGCAAATGCATCAATACTTTATATTTGGAATGCAAAGAAATATCTAAAAATTAAAAGAGAGGCAGCCACAGAAGGTGCAACTTTATTTATTTATTTTTAATATTCCTAGTTAAATGTTCTGCCTTATACCTTTGTGGATATCATATTTTTTTACTGTAATTCTAAGTAGTTATTGCTGGAGTCAAAAATGTTATTAATTTTTACAAGATTATCTTATACCAAAAATCTTGAACTCTATTAATTCTAATAGCTTGCTTTTCTCTGTATAGATAACTATATACTTTAATAATAAAAACTCTCTTTCCATTTAAGTCTCTGCTCTTCCTATTTCTTTTCTTTTTCTTTATAGTGCTACCCAGAATCTCTTGTATTATATTGGAGAGTAGCATCTTTGGCTTCTTTCCAATCTTTTTTTATCTTTATTCTTTTTTTTTTTTAACTTTAAGGTCAGAGGCACGTGTGCAGGTTTGTTACATAGGTAAACTCGTGTCACAGAGGTTTGTTATACAGAGTATTTCATCACCCGGGCATTAAGCCTAGTACCCGTTAGTTATTTTTACTGATCCTCTCCTCCTCCCACTCTCCGCCCTCCAGTAGGCCTCAGTTTGTTGTTCCCCTCTATGTGTCCATGTGTTCTCATCTTTTAGCTCTCACTTTTAAGTGAGAACATGCAGTATTTGGTTTTCTGTTCTTGCATTAGTTTGCTAAACATAATGGCCTCCAGTTCCATTTGTGTTCCTGAGGAGGACATGATGTCATTCTTTTTTACAGCTGCATAGTATTCCATGGTGTATATGTACCACACTGGTTTTTGTTTGTTTGTGTTTTGTTTTGTTTTGTTTTTTTTGAGACAGAGTCTTGCTTTGTCCCCCAGGCTGGAGTGCAGTGGTACGATCTCGGCTCACTGCAAGCTCCGCCTCCCGGGTTCACACCATTCTCCTGCCTCAGCCTCCCGAGTAGCTGGGACTACAGGCACCCACCACCATGCCCAGCCAATTTTTTTTTTTTTTTTAAGTAGAGACGGGGTTTCACCAAGTTAGCCAGGATGGTCTCAATCTCCTGACCCGCCCTCCTCAGCCTCCCAAAGTGCTGGGATTACAGGCGTGAGCCACCACACCCGGCCTGTACCACATTGTTTCTATCCAGTCTGCCATTGATGGGCGTTGAGGTTGATTCCGTGTCTTTGCTGTTGTAAATAGGGCCGCAATGAACATACGTGTGCATGTGTCTTATGATAGAACGATTTGTATTTCTTTGGATTTATACCCAGTAATGGAATTGCTAAGTTGAATGGTAGTTCTGTTTTTAGGTCTTTGAGGAATCGCTACACTTTTCAACAGTGATTGAACTAATTTACACTCCCACTCCACAACCTTGCCAGTACAGAAGGTGCAACTTCAACATTGTCTTTTATTAGATGACATTCAGCCAAGAGCACAGATGGTTTTTTTTTTTAATAAAATAAGTAAAATAATCCTTTTTCTAAATATCACAATTTTTGTCTTTAAAATGGTGTCTTCTTACTTTAGGATGTTGCAGCTGATTTTCTCAGCTATACTTAGCCTCAACATGTGGAACCAATTGAAGTGAAAGATGATGAAAGTTTATATTGATGTAGAGGTTTGCTGTTTGCTTTTTATCAAGTGGAGATTTGTACCCATGTAGACATAACCACTGGCATTCACTATTGATTGAAAGGACAGATCAATTGCTGACAGATTTTCTCTTTAGGTTCCTTACATTGTGTTTAAGATAGGTAAAATAATCACCAATCTATCTGAAGAAAAGAGTGGAGATTTTTAAAATACAACCTCTGATTTCCATTTTCCGTATTGTGCTCAGACTTCATTGCTTCACTCACAAGCAATTCCTATCTTCAACTTTGTATATGTAGTAACATTTCCTGTGTTGTTTGGGGGTTTTTTGTGTTTAATGAGAAGGATTTCAGGTGTTTAAAAAATATTGACATTTCCAACATATGTTACTTTTCAAAGCAGAGCTCTTTCGTAGATGACTGGGAGATGCCTGATGAGTTAGAGATGGTGTTCTCTAAGAGATTCCTGAAGAGCTGGAATCCAGTAGTATGTCTATGAATGCCCCTAGGACAGATTTCAGTTGCTGGTATGTAGGCACAAGGCTAGTAACTGAAAAAGACAGTATACAGATCCTTAAGAATGGTGGCGGTGAGGAGGATGAAGATGATAATGGCGACATCAGCTGACATTGCTATGATTTACTAGGTGCTGAGCACCACGCTGAGTGCTTTCTCTACGTTCAAGCTGAATCTCCCCTTCCAGTTTTGTATTTTCTACACAGTCCAATCCCTTTTCTGGGTAGTAATGAGCCAGAAAAGTGGTCCTGATTAAAATCACCCTTTGTACTTGCCTTGGAGGCAAAGAGAACAGCCAGAAGACGTGGGGTGAGTGCTGTGCAGATTGTAACAAACAAAAAACAGATCCTAGAACTCCAGGTCCTAGCCAGTCAACCCAGACCCTGGATGGTATTAATGCTTATAAATTATCTGTGTTCTTTGATTTTAAGACCTACATCTAACAAAAATCTCACTCCTTTCCTTCTTCCTTTTATCTAATTCTGATACTCTTTTTCTGTCTGTGCCTGGGTGCTCAGAAAACATTTAATGCTAATTTTAAAATCTGAATTACTTTGTTTTTATAAGACTTAGTTTATAACGCACCTGTAATCCAAAAATTGATAGAAGTATATGTGTTTGCTGAGACTAACATGATTTTTCTTGGATTACTTTATTCCTAATGCTTTGTTTAAAGATTAGACTCTTTCCTATACTGCTCCATGCTGAATAAATGTTAGTGATATCAATGTAAGTCTTTATTTTCGGGCTTGCTTCCTGTTTCTTATAATCCAGAGGAAAACTCCATTTTTATTTATAAATTTTATTCTGGGTTATATCATATGCATACAATAGAAGTAATGTATCAAATTTCCGATCTTACATAAATCAGACGTTTTCTGAGTCAGCAGCTTTTGTGTTTATTTGGAAAAGTTGAGGAATGTAGAGACAAAAAAGTATTATGTAATACTGAGATGTTAAGTGATTTCTAGTATAATCACTCAATAGCGGATAATCATAGCTATTGCTTTTACTACTGATAAGCCTGTTTGCATTCTCATCTTTCTTTTGTAGGTGGTTGCCTATCACTATTGCCAAGCAGATAATGCCTACACTTGCTTGGTGCCGGAATTTGTCCACAATGTTGCTGCCTTGCTCTGCCGCTCACCTCAGCTGACAGCCTATCGGGAGCAGCTTCTTCGGGAACCTCACCTGCAGAGCATGCTGAGCCTTCGGTCCTGTGTTCAAGACCCCATGGCCTCCTTCCGGAGGGGAGTCCTGGAGCCGCTAGAGAATCTCCATAAAGGTACAGATAAGGCCCAAAGGAGGGGAAAGATGGTGGTTTAGAGCCCAAGGTCACCCGGGTCATACTATAAAAATGATTAATTTTATCACATTGCCAAAACTAAATATTCCATAGCTAGATGCACTTAACAGACAAGGGATTTTACTTGCAAAAAAAAATCCAGCAGTAACTACTACTTCCTCTTTTCTTTATAAAAATTCTCAGCCGGGCACGGTGGCTCACACCTCTAATCCCAGCACTTTGGGAGGCCAAGGCAGATGGATCACAAGGTCAGGAGATCGAGACCATCCTGACTAACACGGTGAAACCCCGTCTCTACTAAAAATACCAAAAAAAAAAAAAAAATTAGTCGGGCGTGGTGGCGGGCGCCTGTAGTCCCAACTACTCGGGAGGCTGAGGCAGGAGGATGGCATGAACCCGCGAGGCGGAGCTTGCAGTGAGCAGAGATCACACCACTGCACTCCAGCCTGGGCGACTGAGCAAAACTCTGTCTCAGAAAAAAAAAAAAAAATTCTCATTCTTATTTCCAAATAGAATGCCTTTTCCTTGTGAAGACAGTAGAGCTTTCAGTCCTTTCTGTGAAGTTTAAATAAGTCAGTAAATTTGTGGCTCCAGCGCAGTGTTGTGAAGTTCTATGGTTGGAAATCTCCCCTGTAATATGTAATATTAATAAAAAATGTAATACTAATAAAAAACTTATTACCCCATCAGTTCATGTGAAGTGGAATGGCATCCATGGTTGCACAATTCTGTGTATAAACCAGAAATCATGTAATTGTACACTTTAAAAGCTACTTAAGTGGCATAAGGGTATTTTACGATGCATAAACTATCATAGGAGAGCTGTTTTTTTAAGTGGAAAAAATTAAATGGGATCCATCTCCCACTCATGTTCATACCTTTCCTCCCTTTTTTGTCTGCAATTCTAGTGTTAGCAGTGGCCTAAGTGCAACCATTTCCTTGAAAGTGGTGCATTCCTTAAGACTTCCTGCCCCATACCCTTAACAAAGTTTTGTTAGTGCCAGAAGCCAGAGAAAAGGATGTGGGTATGCATACAATTCCTGAGCAATCCTGTTTATTCCTGAGAGTCTTAGACACCTTTCTCAAGGGCTTTGGAGGTACTAATAAGGAAAGATGGTTTATAATTTCTCCTGGCCATCATCTTTAGTTGTTTCAGCTTCCATGCTGGTTACCTGGATATCAGAATTTCTCTTTCTGCTCAACTCTGATGACCTCTGTCACTACGTCTGCTACCTGTTACCTTTTTAAACCTTGCCATTTCTCCACAAGTATTTTTAAGCCTATTTCCTGGACATTCAGTCAATCTCTAAAACCTGTTAATTCTGCCTTCATGATGTTTCTCACACCCACTTGGCTCAGTTGTTTCTAGCATCATCATCACAAGAATTTTAGGTACACTTCTAAACCATTCATGGCACACCTGGTGGGAAAGTTCTTCCCCAGTCTCTCCAGTCTTCTAGACTTTATGTATTTCTTCCAGATAAAGTTTTATAAAGCACTTCTCTGATCACATAATTCCCCAATTCATAATCCACTGATTGCCTATTGCCTTCTGAATTAACTTTCAGTTCCTTGTTCTGACATTCCGGATGCTTGATGGCCACCATCCAACCTACTTTTCAGCTTTATTATTCACTGTTATCCTTAGGAACCCTGTGTTTATGTGTAAACTAAAATATTCACTAGTCCTCAAATACGTCCCTAGATTTTCCCACCTCCATATATTTACTTATTATTTTCTTTCTTGATATACCTTCTTCTCACATCTCTGCCTGTCAGAATTCCACCCATGTATCAAGGACCAGCTTAAATGCTACCTCATTCATGAAATACCTACTGATCTACCTGCCCCCCTGCAGTCAGAAATGATGTCCTTCCAAATGACGTTAGATCTTTTTTCAAAATATATGTATGTATTTATGGTGCATAACACATAATATATAACAATAATTTTACATTTTATTATTAACATTTATTAAATATTTACCATATGCCAGATACACTTTGCAGTTTCTAAGAATTACTTTTGTACTTATCCCTCTGAGTAAATTGTATGTTATTGAAATTAGGAACTTTTGAAAATTCAGCTTTTATCCTTCATAGTGGTTACCTCACCTTGAACATAGTAGGCATTTTAGGGAATACATTTTGAACAGATACATGAATATAGAAACTGCTCACATGTAGGAGTACCTTGAAAGCAGCACAGTGATACAAGGATCTACACCTTACAGCCAATTCAAGAAGGCTATCCAAATGCTTGCAGTCAGCTCTAGATTCTCAACCATAATTCATATTTTTAATAATTTTGCTGCAAGATATATCTGCTTCTCATTTAGGTGTCCATAACTAGCTTTAGCCATCTCTATTGATAAATACTGTCTGTATTGATAAATACTGTTCTAAGTGAATTTAATTACTTCATTTTATGTCCGTGTTTTTAACTCACCCTTAAATCACCATTATGAGCAATAGCTGGAAACACAGTTTTCCAGCTGGAAATGCTAAAATTTACTAGAGTGACCAAAAGTCGGGAAATGAAGAAATTTTTTTTAGAGATAAAACAAGCAAAATGGTAGATATATAAGCAATAATATCAACAATTACATTACATGTAAATGGACTAAACGCTTATGCTAAAAAGTAAAAACTGTCAGACTGGATAAAAAGCAAGACTCAACCATATGCAGTTTTTTAAATATGAAGACACAGATTGAAAGTAAAAGGATAGAGACTGTATAAACATGGAGCATAAGAAAGCTGGGGTGACCACAGTAATCTCAGAGTAGACTTCAAGACGAGAAGTATTTCTACAGAGGCATTTGATACACATAGAAGGGCCAATTCATCAGGAACATGTATTCGATGTATGCACCTAATAACAGAGGTTCAAAATTCGTGAATCAAAAATAGACCAAATTAAAGAGATAAATAGCTATAAGTCCCAACTACTGTGGAGACTGAGGCAGAACAGTGTAATTAATGACTATCTAGTTATTTAATGTTTAGCATATTTTTATCCCACTAAACTATAAAAACTGCATAACCATTGAAGACATAGCAGCTAGTATGGTAACTGGAACATAAAAGGAATTTAAGCTAGGCTTGGTGGCTCATGCCTGTAATCCCAATGCTTTGGGAGGCCATGGCAGGAGGATCACTTGAGCCTAAGACTCAAGATCAGCCTGGGCAACATAGCAAGTACCCATCTCAGCAACAACACCAGCAGGCATGGTGGTGCACAGTTGTCGTCCCAGCTGCTTAGGAGGCTGAGGCAGGAGGATCACTTGAGCCCAGGAGGTCAAGGCTGCAGTGAACCAAGATCATGCCACTGCACTCCAGCTTGGGTAACAGAGTGAGACCTGGTCTCAAAAAGAAAAAAAAAAGTTAAATCAGTGTAATTCATCATATTAACAGAATAAAGGAGAACATCCACATAATCATTTCAATAAATGTACAAAAACATTTGACAAAATACTACATCGGGGTCCCCAACCCCTGGGTCATGGATGGATATAGATCCATGGCCTGTTAGGAACTAGGCCACACAGCAGGAGGTGAGTGATGGGTACCGCCTGAGCTCTGCCTTCTGTCACATCAGCTGCAGCATTAGATTCTCGTAGGAGCACGAACCCTATTGTGAACTATGCATGCAAGGGATCTAGGTTGCACACTGCATCTGAGGCCTGGTAATCTGAGGTGGAACAGTTTCATCCCTAAACCATCCTGTCCACCCTCCACCCCAGAAAAATTCTCTTCCATGAAACCGGTCCCTCCAAACTACACCAATTAGTGATAAAAACTACACAAACTAGGAGGAGAAGGAAGTTTAGTTTGATAAAGGGCAACTCCAAAATACATGTAGTGAAATGTTGAATGCTTTTTCCCCTAAGGTCAAGAGCAAGACGAGAGTGTTCCTTCACTCTCACCACTTACATTCATCATTCCACTGGTGGTCCAGGCTAGTGCAATAAGAAAATAAACAAGCATGCAAATAATATAAAGATTGGAAAGGAAGAAGTAAAACTGTCTTTATTTGCAGACAACATAATTGTTTACCTTAGAAAACTCTAAGGAATCTACCCAGAAAAAAGAAATCTGACTAGAACTAGTAAGCACAAAGCTTTAGGCTATAAAGTCAATATACAAATATTTCTATACTAACAACAAAATACTGAAAATGAAATTTTAAAACTATGTGGCAGTTTTAAAACATGGCTACAAATTCTTTGACATTACTTCCACTAATAGTTCAACCTGGGTCCCCTCCCTTCATAACAGGGCAGGCTTGCAACTGCTTCAACCAACAGGATACTACAAAGTGATGCTATGTGACAACTGAGGGAGGTCGCAAATAGCCATGCAGCTTCCATCTTGTTCACCAAAGCACTTGCTTTGGGAGGCGTGTATTGCCATGTATGGAGCCTGACTACCCTGAGTTCACCATGCTGCAAAGCACAAACCACAGGGAGAGTCTAGTTGACTGTCCCAGTGCTCATTCCTGCCCTGCCACCAAACATATGCATGAATAAGCCTCCCAATGATTCCAGCTTCCAACCCCCAGCCCCAGACATTCAGGTAACCGCTTGCTATTTGAAATAGCAACAAATAAGTAGAATAAATACGATTTTCAGTAGCACCAAAAAATATATAATACTTAAAAATAAATGTACAAAAGATATGTAAGACATAGTAAAAGCACAGCAAAAATATTGCAGAGTGAAATTAAAGAACTTAGTAAGTGGAAGAGATATGCCATATATGTGGATTGGAAGATGCCAGTTTTTTCCTTAAACTATTCTATAAACATAATCCCAGCTGGTTGCAGTGGCCCATGCCTGTAATCCCAGCACTTTGGGAGACCGAGGCAGGTGAATCACCTGAGGTTGGGAGTTCGAGACCAGCCTGACCAACATGGAGAAACCCTGTCTCTACTAAAAATACAAGATGTAGCCGGGCGTGGTGGCACATGCCTGTAGTCCCAGCTACTCAGGAGGCTGAGGCAGGAGAATCGCTTGAACCCAGGAGGTGGAGGTTGCGTTGAGCCGAGATTGCGCCATTGCACTCCAGCCTGGGCAACAAGAACGAAACTCCATCCCCCCCCCCAAAAAAAAAGAAAGAA